TTAATTTATGTAAATAACAGGAAAAATAGCGCAGTGTGATAAATTTGTGGGGTTTCAAATATAATCTTCAAATGATATTCCACTGAAGATATCATGGAAGAGTTATGGGTGAAGAGTGTTACCTTTTTCATATTATAGTGTAGAACGACACATGGGTAAAAATATTGTAAAGATAACCACCTGTCAGATGCAATTCTGACTACTTTTTCTCTACTACTTGGCATTATTTAGGCTATTCTAGGTCCAAAATATTGTATTAAAACATTCCTTCAGGGCAACAATTATTTTGAGATGAGCTGCTTATATAAGCAATGGCTTGGCACCAAAGTCCACTATATAATGCACCTGCCAAGGATTCATAGGAAGTACAGGGGCTGAATTTGAGACCTGACATCTGAATCTCAATGTAGCTGAGGTATCAGTTTTTCAGCGTCCATGAAAAGAGTTCCTTCTGAGCATTATTCTTAAACTGGATATTTTGTCCCACTGTGTATCTTTCTTGGTGTGCTGAGAAACAAACTTCTGACTCATCATCCAGTGTTTCCAGGTGGTTTCCAGACCTAGAAAATAGTTTTATCAGAGTCTAAGACACCACTAGCCAGTCACAGAACTTTTGTATAAATTTAATATAATTTTGTATTTGGTAGTAACAGAGCAAAGCCATGCCTAGGATTTGATTTAGCAGACTGTGTCTCCCCACCCCCTCTCCCTGTTCTCCACTACCAGCCTTGTCTGTTTTTAAACCATTTTGAATCGATAATATTCCGGATTTGAAAATATACAAACATACAGATATATAGAAGTGTAAAAGGAATGGTTGCTACTTGCATGCAGAATACAGTGTTTATTCTGCCTGTACCCTATACAGCATCTAATTTCTGATCTTTTTCTCCTCATGGCAGACACAATGAGTGTTGTGATCAGCTGCTGTTTTCCTAGTGCAGGCTTGCCCACTGGTAAATTACCTCACCTATAAAATGAGAATGGGTAAGAAGAGCTATTCTACAGCTATTTTTACCCATGTGCACACATCAGAAGTAGTCAGATGAGATGAAACAGTCTTGAGACAGCACAGTCAAGCTATTGAGGAATATACTGAAGAACATTTTAAACCCACCATCTCAGCCACTTAGCAGCTGCCACCATTCCCTGGTATCTGCCACAGGCTGACCTTGTCCAGCCTAGTTTCTGCACCAAATTTATATATCTGTGTGTATATATGAAATCAACTCCCAAGCAAACGTTCAAGAGCATTGACTCATTCAACTTTGGAGCTTGAAATGAATCCCTCTTCTGGGTGCTGGCTCAAAAAATAGTAGAGCGGGAACTGGGCTAGGAGAGGCCTCATGGAGAAATGTATGTCTGCTCAATAATCATTATAGCCTGTCAGGCATAAAGCTAGCTGCTGTTGGCACAGTTCACAATTAGTTCTGGAACATGCAGCAAAGAGGTATTCATTTGTGGAAACATATTAAAGACTAGACAAAGGTTTATCAACTCTTTCTTTCATGGAATCCTCACACAAGAATTAAGGTAACTCAATTTGTTTTCACTATTTAGTATCTAGCTTTAGAGCTTGCTTTGGCCAGCAGGTACTCACTGAGTGCTGAAAACATTATTAAAATTGTATTAAAAGTAATTTAGGCTGTGAATACTCTTGCCGTTTGCTCACAGGCTATATGAAAGGAGAACAGTTAAAGTTTTCTCTTAGGCGATGACAAATTTTTACATCTTGCTGGAAAGTTTATGTACAAAGAGCACAATTTTGAACTTAGAAAACCACATGCCTTCTGGAGGATTCTGGGTTTGTTTCCATTCCTGCAAAAATCACAGCAAGTGACATTGTTCCTCCATAACTTAAGCTTTCCTAGTGAAGCCATACTGGCATTATTGCATTCTACAATCCCTCTGCACTCATGTAATTCCCAGGGACCTTTTTGATAGTTTCTGCTGTGAGAAGAATGCAAAAGGAATATTGCACAGGGTCAAGACACGGGGAAAGGTGGTTTTAATACCTATTTATGATCTGATTATCTTTTACATGATTTTACTGTCATTGAAATCCTAGGACCACCCAGCAGTACAAGTTTATAGGATTTCTGTGATCTCATAATTTCAAGTGTAAATCAGAATTGTCAGCATGATATGCCAACATGTTTCTTTACCCTAGAAGTTCTAATCTTGCAGATCAGCTGCCCTGCAGATTTGTGCTAGTGTACTGTTAGATAAGCTACCCTTGCAGGAGCACATTCAGTACACTGAAGTTTTTGAAGAATAAATTGGTCACTGAGCATCTCTCACTGTTTGGCAGAGGTCTGAGTTTTTAAAGGTCATGAAGGTTAACATTTGTAGTGACCTTTGTAAACACAGTACTACAGATGAAATATTTTGGACTGCTGCCAAACATATAAAAACACTGTGGTTTTAGCTCATACTCCAATAATCCTAAAAGTTGTGTCTTAATTACCAGGAAACAATATGTATGACAGTGTTAAAATAGAGTTTAATATTTACTTTCAGATTAATAAAACCTGTCTGGTCTTGTGGTTTTATATGTACGGGAGCTGTCAGTTGTCTACTTTCCCTTGCAGTTTATGAGACATTAACTTCCTCTTCCTTTATGAAATCTAGAAACCTTTGTGAGGTGCTTATAAAGCTTTGCAGTAAAAAATGGAAATATTCCTAAATTTGAAGTACCTCTGTAACCAAGTATCCTTTAGCAGTGGCACATCTGAATAGTTCATTAGGTCTTGGAAACTTCATTTCTGCATAAAATAAAGAAGGAACCCAGCATCCTGATGGCTTGTGTTAATATCAGATTAGATTAACAAGCTGTAAAATCTGTTCTCTTTTTGAGTCTTTCACTGGTTGATTTCTTAATTAATTTAATTTATTTTTCAAATTTAGGAACATATGTTGATACTTCTACAAACACTTTTTTAGTTGCCGATGGGAAATCCTATTGAGGGGAAAATGAAATCCGTCACATACATTTAGAACATGTATGCACTGTACTTAAGTGGGAAACCCCCAGTTTATAGGGGTGCAGAAAGTGGCATAAAAACTAGCTTGAAGAATTCAAAACTCTAAAATTCAAACTACCTTACATGAATTGATCATGAATAATTACCAGCTTTTGAAAAATACAACTCCCATGAATACCTAAGTGTGAATTATAACTTTGAATTAAGATTCAGTTACATATTGTTATGTTTATATTAAATTCATAGAGATGTCAGAACAAGTAGACAATTATAATTATCCAAAGTTTTCCAGTAGGGAATAATATAATGATAGAGCATTCACCTCTCTTGCTCATCACTTGCTATTGGCTTATGCCTGATACTATCACATCAAAGTCTACAGTGAAACCAAATGTCAGTTGACACAATGTAGTGGAAGAATTATGTTGCACAGGAATAGAATAAAGGTATTTGTTTTCTAAAAGAGAAGAAAGTCCCAGAAATTGTGACAATGACTATGAACCAACTATAACTAGTAGGTAATTGTTCATAATTGGTGTATACTCTTTGAGGAGAAATTTGTTTAGTGTTGGATTTTATTAAGGCTTATGCTTGGGTATTTGGGCATCTGAATTCTTATAAAGCTAATTTGCAGATAAATTAGAAATTGCAGATTTCTGTTCTTGAAAATTCCTGGTGTTCAGAGAATTTAGACATAAACGATAAAACAAACTTGTATAAAATTTACACATAAAGCCCTAAATGTGTCTGAAGAAGCATTTTTCTCCCTAACCACCTAGTAATCAGAAAAAAAAATATTAAATTTTTTAAGTGAAAAGTTAAGTCCGGAGACTTGCATCAAGCCACGGTTTCCATTCAACACCTTAGACTGTCTATGGTCACCAAAAGAACAATAATAGCAATGGTACATCTGACACCTCTTACAAATGGGACACACACTTTGGAAAAACTTTGAATTCATGCTTCATCTCATCCAAATAAGGTGTTGGAGGCTGTGGTTTTATATTATAAAGAAGTGGATGGCAGTACTGAACGAAGATATTTCCAACTAGTCTCTTTCCAACACTGTGATGTAACTAACTTCCTTTTCTCTCACCTGCTCTGACATCATGTTTTCATGGGATAAATGGTGAACAAGGCTGTCGAATTGATGCAATTTTCAAGGAAAAAAAAAGAAGTGTAAAGAAGTGTAAGGCTCTGTGGTGGGTTGACCTTGGCTGGATGCCAAGTGCCCACCCAGCCGCTCTATCACTCCCTTTCCCAGCCAGACAGAGGAGAGAGTAAGATGGAAAACAACTCATGGACTGGGACAAGGCAGTTTATTAAAGCAGGAGCAAAGTGGAGGCTTGTGTGCGCAAAAGCGAAGCAAAAGATAGCAGGATTTATTTTCTACTTCCCATGAGCAGTGATGGTCGGCCACTCCTGAGAAGCAGGGCTTCAGCATGTGTAATGGTTTCTCAGCAGGCAGCCACTGGAGACAACGAATGCTTGCCTTCCCATTCCTTTCCTTAGCTTTTATATCTGAGCTGATGTCACATGGCATGGAACATCCCTTTGGTCAGTTTGGGTCAGCTTTGACCTACTTGGGTCCCCTCCCAGGATCTTGCCCTCAGCTGAGGAAGGAATGTTACAGCACAGACACTGTGCTGCCCTGCTCAGCAGTAGCCAAAACACCGGTGTGTCATCAACACCCTTCTGGTTACCAATGCAAAGCACAGCACTGTGAGGGCTACTGTGGGGAAATGAACTCCAGCTCAGCCAAACCCAATAAAGGCTCTCAGAAGATATTTCACTAACTTGATTTGATTTCCAATCCCAGATTAAAAATGTCTCTGTAGGGCTCAGCTGACATCTGTCTCACTAAGGGGGCAGGAATGACTAGCAAAGTATTGGGAGTGACAGTAGGCCTATGAAGATGTTATTTTCACCAAATATTTTACATCATTAAAGAATTACGCAAATAATTTTAGGCTTCCAGAATTAAGTTGAAAACTTTCCTTTTTCTTTCTTGTACAGGAACATATCTAGGCACTTAAGACAACCCAAATGCCTAAAGTTAGACTGATCGGATCTGGGCCCTGAAGTCTAAGACACAGCAGATGTATATGTTGAAGCTTCTCTGCTCTTCTCTACCAAGTCTCAGCTGTCAGTGATTTAGGAACTCTGTGAACCTCTGGATCTAGACAAGCCACAGATGGACATATCTTTTATTAGTTTGCATAAGAGTCTTTTGACAGATTTTGACTTGAACTTCATATCTTAAATAAATTGTGTGAAAAAAAATATTCTTTCATTTACTGGAGATCATCACATGACAAATTTATTGGATATCTTTCTGTTTTCAAGTTGTGAAAATAGTGAACTCAGTGTCTTCACATAATTCATGATTTTATAGATTGTTACCCACTCTTCTTTTCCAAGCTGAAGAGCTGGTAACCTCTTCTTCAGCCCATCATCCTGTTCTGCCTCTTTTCTAATTCTACTTTGTCTCTTTGGAAACTGGAACCAGAATTTTACACAGAAATGCACACAGTACCTGAACACAACATCCATTTATATGGTAACCTAATCTTATTTCTGGTCTGTTTCCTATTCTGTTCATAACAATTCCCAGCTTTTTGTTTGCCACTGTGGCTGCTAATAGCACTCAAAAGCATCCTTAAAAATTATTCACTTCAGCCTTGCTTTTCTGAGTAACAGTAACTATTGGAGGGGTTTCTCCTCTGTATGATACTTTACATTAGCTGATACCAATTTTTTTTTCTAGGTTTATTTGATCAGAGAGCACCCTGAAATTCTTTTTCAGTTCTTCACAGTTTAATTTAATCATCTTCATTAATTATTTATCATTTGCAGATTTTGCTACTTCATTAATCACCACCTTTTCCATGATATTTTATGAATATTTTGAAGAGTTTACATATCATGCTTATACACCTGAGGATAAAGAATTCCACAACGTTATCCTCAATTGCCATTTATTTGTATTTTGCCTCTATTTTAATGAGTCTAATTCATAAAAGGGTCTCTCTTATCCCTCAATAGTCTTATGGCTCTCAGAATATGGCAAGTAACCTTATCAAAAGCTTTACGAAAATGAAATTATGATGCACTGACTAGATCACATTCATTCACAATTTTTGACTCTTTCAGAGATTGCTAAGGAGTTAGTGAAGCATAATATTGCCGGAAAACAGAAAAAGTTTGAATATTTATTCCCATTTATTCTATAATATATTTTGAGATACAAGAGTATTATACACTGTTTCTCACACATATTCAATCTCTCTGCTTACCGTAAGCAGTTTTCCCTGTTAGCTGTTGCTTTCTTCTTTCTTTTTAAAATATGTATTTATATATATATATAATATATATATATATATTTATATATATAAGGTTTGTGATTTTATCCTCTAAACCCCTTGAATTTATTTGACTGTGCTCACTATTAGAGTGGTCTTTATTGTTTCAGATCCTCTGTGTTATTTAGAAATAAATTAGGATTTGCTTCTCATTTTCCTCAACTTGAAGCTCCAAGAATCAGTAATTTATGATACCATTCACAACCCTTGCAGTACAGCTCTTGCTTCATGTTGTTTTTAGATTAAAATAGGGATAATTGAGATACTTTTTAGCCATCTGCAGTTATGAAGCAATTTTTAACCTCAATAGCTGTTTGCCGTTTTGTGTTATACAGTACACTTTTTGATTTGTTTCTCTTCTGTGTTCTGCTGCACACAGTGACAAACCTAGTCCTAGTGTTTCTAATGAAGAAAACAGAGGTACACAAGGGATGAATTCTGACAATTATTTATCTTCATTTGAGAGTTTCCTTTTTATTTAACTAGTTGTCATTGATTTTTCCATTTAATACTATCCTCGGTTTAATCTTTCACCCTTTCAAGGTGAAGGCCCTTTGGCTGAAAGCTTTCTCAGCTGAGTTTAAAAGGACTACTACCGACAGTTAATGAGATTTTTCTGTGACTCAATAGGTAAGCCCAGCACTTTCCAATACTTGGGTCATCAGTTCAATTCCCTGACAAAATAGATCCATCGTGAATAATATCCTTGAGGTAATCTCTGCTTTGTGAACTATTATGCTTCTTGCACTGTACACTGAATGTTTTGACATTGTATCTCTTTGCCATGATACCTTTAAAAATGTCAAATTTTAATTTATTTTTCCAGATTTTACATATCTTAACATGAACAGGTAGGGAAATTTCTCTTCTCTGGAAAGATTAAACTGTTGAATTCAATTTGTCAAATAAAATGTAAGATACTATGAGCCCAAATTTTGAAAGTTGTCCTATACCTGCTCAGTTTTATGTACTGCATAATATGATTCCTAAGTACTACATCTATTAATACTTGCATTGCAATTTTCCCAAATTAGTTTATGCTAAATGTCTCTATTACATTATTACATTAATTTCAGTTTATTTAGCTTGAAAATCAGTCAAACTCAACTATTTCTTCATAAAGAACATCTAATATTCAGATTGGAATTACTCTATTCATATTAATTAAGAAATCAATAGAGATTTCTATTAGTGACCAAAAACAGAAGTCAAATTCTTCATTTCATAGCTATAGTTTTCCTGTATAAAGTCAATTAATTCTCTTTCAAAAATCAGAACAAGGGAATTTGATGTAGGACTACTAAAAAAGTATGTTTCTTTTTTTTTAATGAGCCCATTGTCCTGTGTTCTTGTAGTCCTTAAACAGGGAACATTCACATATGAAAGGTGGTAAGAGTTATGAGTTCTTCTAGTTACCATCATTTGGCATTACACCAGGTATGACATGATCTTGCCAGTAAGACCCCAGTAAACCAATTAGTGAGCAATGCAATGCAGCTAGATGGCAGAACAATGCACATTTTTAAACTTTTAATGGAGCAATTGCCTGGCTTTTCAGGAAGTGTTTTCTTTTGCCTGCCTCACTGATACCAAACCAGACTGATCACATGGGATCCAGTGGATCAAAAATAACTGTTTACCATACGTGTCTACCGTGACTCATGTATTTGCCATGAGATCTCTTTACAGCCAATCATTGAAGAGACACTGGAATTCTTTCATTAACCCTTCAAAATGGAAAAGGTAACTGTTATAGTCTTCCCATATCAAAAAAATAATTTGGATGGAGATGTAGTTTTAGTTGTGCCCATCATGTAGTACCCAATGTCAGTGTACGAACAGGAGAAATTAGTTCCTTAGACAAGTAATATTTCTTCTTTGAAGCTCAAGGAACATTAATCTGTGATCTTCTTATGAGTAGGGGGAAAAGGATAAGGAAAAGGCTTTTTGTGTAAACCAGGTCTCAGCAAAAAGGTAATTCTTCTCAAAACAAACAAACAAAAAACCCCAAACACACAATCTAGCAACAAAGAAAACCTGATGAAAATAAATTACATAATTAAATAAAAAGCTATCCTGTTATCTACAAGACATGTTTTGTCAGCAAAGAACTAAGGGAGATATAAGAGAATAATTTTGCAATTCAGAAACATTTTTGGTAAAATCATAAATCAAGAAAGTAAAACAAATTTTTACTGAATGAATATGAATTTTTCCAAATAATTACATCAGGGAAAAATGTAAATATCAGAGATTAAAATTTTCTTTACGCTTTTTTATTCACAAATTTCCTTTCTTTTTTTAGTTGAATATTTTTAAATCCTTCAGATCACAGAAAAACACTTCATTTTGTCAAAAATAATACTTTTCATTTTAATTGTATGACATTTTATTCAATTTCTTGATTCTCCAAAATCTTCCACAGCATTTTTTTAACCAAGAATATTCTTATATGTTTGGACTTGCCACTCAACCAAAAATGTTCTTAACTTTAAATTTGTCCCGGTATTGTCAAAGTACGCGCTACAAAACAAGACTCACAGATTCCTAGATTTTGGCAGAAAAAACACTTCTTTCAAGGTACAATATTATCTTGAATGTCAAGAATGACAATGATGTAAAGTCACTCAGCAGCAAAGTTTTCAGAAGACTGTGAACTCTAACAGTCCACTCAGTCCTCTTGAGTTTCCCTCAATTTTTTAGAGATGTGTTTTATTAGCCAATTTTGTGCAGACAGAACTGTTTGAACACTACCTTCACTGTAAAGTCACTCAGCAGGTTTCAGATTGCTTTTAGCCTGCATTTTCTCGTTGTTAAAACTCCTGTCCCTGATATCATCGTCTTTTCCATTCTTTGATATAATTAGCCCACAAGTGGCTGGTTTTGGGCTTCTAACTCTTTTATCAGCCTGGACTCTTTTCTTACAGCCACCTTTTTAATAAATGGGTAGATATTTGCCTTGTTGTGCTGGTTTTAGCTGCAGTAGAGTCAATTTTCTTCAAGGTGACTAGCATGGAGCTGTGTTTTGGATTTCTGTTGAACACAGGGTTGATAATATAGAGATGTTTTTGTTATTGCTGAGCAGTGCTTACACAGAGCCAAGGCCTTTTCTGCTTTTTGTGCTGTCACACTGGCAAGGAAGTTGTGGGGGCATGGGAGGTTGGGATGAGACACAACCGGCACAGGTGGTCCAAACTGGCCAAAAGGATATTCCAGACAATATGACATCATTCTCAGTATATAAAGGGAGAAAGGGAGGGACATTTGAAATGATGGTGTTTGTCTTCCCCAAGTATCTGTTGTGCATGATGGGGCCCTGTTCTCCTGGAGATGGCTGCCATGGGAAGAAGCAGTGAATGAATTACCTGTTTTGCATTTCTTGTGTGTGTGGCTTTTGCTTTCCCTATTAGATTGTCTTTATCTAAACCCATGAGTTTTCTCCCTTTTACATTTCCAATTCTCTCCTTGATTCTGCAGATGGTGAGTGAGCAAGCAGCTGTGTGGGGCTTGGTAGCTGGCTGGGGTTAAACCATAACACTTGTGTACAATTGTTTACATAATCAGGAAATCCAGACTCTAGTAATATTTACTAAATCACTGCCTAAAGCATTGTTTTTACTGCTGCTGCTTCTGTTTATTTCCATTTTATAATTTTTCCACATTTATCATTAATGTGATGAAGGAAACGATGAGCAGGAATCTAAATCTTAATTTTTACAGGACTTGGAATCTTGATTTCTAAGTTTCCATTGACTGAGAGAAAGGCCTTTGTTTAGTATTCCCTCACTGAAAGATGATACTCACACTTGATTTATCAGACAATTTCAGTCTC